TGAGGTGAGTGCTTTTCACTCACCTCATAGTTCTAGCCGACCTGTGACAATGAGACTGTCACAGGTCGGCTCAGTAGATCGGGAGGTGAGCGAACACATACCGGCGTTTGCTCACCTCTCTATCTGGTCACGGCTCTCTGCCGTGACAGGGGAGGGGCTGGATTCCCCCCTCCACGCTCCGATCTGCCAGCGCTGACTGGCGGAACGGACGGGGGAGGGAGCGGGTACAGCTGGCTCTGCCTCTAGATAGGCAGAGCAAGCTGCCAGTCACGCAGCTGGGCGGATCCCGGCACAATTGTCGGGATCCGCTTCAGCTGCGGCGTCTCAGTATACCGCGAGCAGCAGCTCACGGTATACTGAGCCTAGGGTGACGGGAGGACGCTAGTTTGTGTCCTCCCGTTACCCTAAGGAGAACTATGGGGAAAAGCCTTAACCCCATAGTTCTCCTTTAAGGCCGTGAGGAGAGAGAGTATTGAGCTTATAGATCCAATATGTTTCCTGTTTGCATAGCTCATGAAATCTTTCTGCTGCAGGTAGGCGATCTGGGATTTGCTCAATGACAAAGACTTGTAGAAATTTAATATTTTTCTGGTGTTTGTGAAGGAAGTGGCGTGGGACGCTGTGTTCTGTATTGCCTTTTTCAATAAATCTTCTGTGTTCCCCTATGCGTTTGCGTAGGGGGCGGATGGTGCGACCTATATATAGAAGGTTACAGGGGCATCTCAGGCCGTAAACGACATGATTGTGGTGCAGGTGAACTGATGTATGGGAAATATGTGTTCCCAGAGCTGGTCCGGAATGGGAGGTTGGACTGAGGGGTTGTGTGTACTTGGGTCTGCTGCAGGCTCGATCAGATGGTCGGTATTGGACTGTGGTCGTGTATTGGAGCTAATATGGTTGAGGGTGGTTTCTGGTGTCAAAGGTGATGGTGGGATGTTGGGTGCTGGGGGGTGTGCGGGGAACAAAGGCCTAAACTTCGCTCCAGACATTTTACCCAACTCCTTCACACTATTTAAAGACTTAAATAAATTTGTCCGCCACCTAACACTCAAAAGACACCATCACAACATACAAACCTCACCTGAATTGCTGTCTGAACCAAACAGCACCATTCCCACACCCACAGAGCCTACAGACATAGACACGGACAAAGACGTCTTGGCCATACTGGAAGAACTTCTTCATCCCTCCCACCCATTGGACATAGAACTAGAGGACTGGGCACAGCCAAAGATTGTACATAGCTCACTACGCCCCCTGTCCAGTTTTTACCCAATCAAATCCAAAAGCAACTACATTGACACCTTTTACCATGTCACATATGCTGATTTCACGAAATTATGCCCCCCAAAAAATGCCAACACTGCACCAAACATGACAAAAAACAAACCGAAAAAATCCAACCTCTCCTTTAAAGAACAAAAAGCATTAAAAACCCTGACTAGCAATGACACAATTTCCATAAGACAGGCAGACAAAGGCAGTGGCATAGTCATCCAGAACCGGGAGGACTACATACAAGAAGCCAATCGCCTCCTGTTCGATAAATCAACCTATTCACCCCTCTCCTCCGACCCCTTACCTAAATTTCTCTCAGAACTCAAAATCCTCACTGGCACAGCCCACCAAGAAAACGTGATCACCAAAAAAGAAAGATCGGTCTTATGCCCCACACAACCGAAAACATCCTTCTTTTACCACCTACCAAAAATCCACAAAAACGACAGCACGTCCCATCATATCCAGCATCGACAGCCTCACGAGTGGCCTTTCCAGATACATAGACCAATTCGTTGCAGCGCTTCTTTCCACCCTCCTTTTTACATGTGTCTGCAGGGTCCCTCCCCCTGAACGAGAAGCTGGCTCACCCCATTCTTTAACTAATTTTTTAAAAATTCGTTTTAAAAATTCTTTTTAACTTTTGTTTTTGTTTCAAAATTGTTCCAGAATGGTTTAGTATTAAAATTTATTTTAAACAGATCTATTCCTCTTGCCACATTGCATAACAGTTGTGCGCTCGCCTTTTTTACCGTTTTTATCTTGCTGTTTCGCCCAGAGGCCCCGGCAAGCTGCACACTGTCACTACAATGAGTTATAAAAATAGAGAAAACAAGCTTGATCTAATTTTTTGTGATCACCCGCACATACCCAACACCCTCAAATTACCTAAAGCACCTCCCCCTGGACCCCCAAACAATACCCATACCCAAAATCGTCATCCCCCACACTCCGAAACCTTTGAAATAGAGATGAGGAAATCATTCCTCAAACTCCAAACCTACACGAACCAAGAAAGCCAACAATGGTGGGACATTGCATTCCTAAACAAATACATCGAACTAGGTATCACCCCGAGAGGCTTAAGAATCTCCAAAACGTGTGATTTCCTTGATCCAGACCTTTCAGCAAATTGGCACCTCCTCTCTGAATGTTGTACAAAATAGGTAAGGCCTGTCAAGATGGACTCAGAGTTCCTAGAAAAAGCTTTTTAACCACACAGATAACCTGCTTTTGCCATGGTGGCAGAAACAAGTTGCATAGCAGACAAATCAGACTTTAAAGAGGGTTCTTTAACACAGGAACATCCTCTACAGAGACCGTAACAGTCTTGTTCAAACAAGAGATAGCTGGTTCTAACTGTCTAAGATGTCAAAGGGACCTTTGGAAAGGCCCACGCAGGCAGCCCTAATTGCAAACAAATCGGCACCACATAACAAAAATAGTGTCCTTGAACTTAGGAGATATGTCATGTTCTCTTCCTGGGCTGAGTCCACAGAACTAGAAGCACCCCCTCTTCCTCAGGCAGTGTAAAAGCTGATAGAGGAAAGCCATAGGGGGGACTCTGAGGTGGAAAGAGAGGGGCTAAATCCCACCATTACTGATGCAAACTCCTCCCTAGATAGCAGGGTAGAGGAGGGTGTTCTAGAGGGTGCATGAGGCAAAAGGAAAAGGACCATAGCATAGGACTGGAAAAAAATAGTGTCCCTAGAGGGGACAGAACCTTCCTCAGAATCATTGTCAGGCTCTGTAGCCCCAGAGTCTATGATTTAGCCACTGCATGAAAGGAAACTCCAGGTATTAACTACTGTGGAGGCTGGAGGGCACCTTGTGTCCCAGCACTGTAGACAGAAGCAGTGACTTAGTGTAGCAGTGCAGAGTTTTGAACCCTGTGTAAAATTGCAAAGTAGCATTAGCAGCAGTAGCAGTATTTGGCCAGTGCACAAAACACCAGTAGAAGAAAAAAGAATGGCATATGCACACTACAATACACACTACAGGCGATTGCAGGCCATCCATGAGACTTTAAGAAATAGTGTCAATTTTAAAACTAAGAGTGGCACTGCCCCCCCCCCATTAATGAATCCAGGGATATGGAACTGCTACATTGGGCACCTCCGGCAGGGAATATCCCTGGCTTACCTAACCTTCATAGCAGCATTCCCCAGACAGGAGTCCTGGTCATTTAAAGGGGACATCCCCATCCAATTTTTGCCCTTCCAGTAAGCCTTGGACCTGTACAGCACCCTGCCAAAGTGAGTGCAGAAGCCATACTCCTAGAGAGATTGTTGCATCATATTACTAGTAAATATATACTAGTAAATAAATTTGCTGCAAACTTGTATGATATTGCACTGTGTAGCTGCTGAATGCATGAAGATTGGTGTTAGTCTGTGGAAGCTATACATCTGCTGGACAAGGATCTGTGCATGTGTGCATAGTTGCCAAGCAGACCAGTCAGCTGAGAAACTGCAAATGGTGGCAATCTACTCTATAAGTCATGTGTCTAGAGTGCGTGGGCACTAGGAAAAGTGAAAGGGCACCAGGATTCCAACTCACAGAACAGCTTGGAGAAATCTCAGAAGCGTGTGGAAATTAACTAGCTGCTTTACAACCGTCCGTGTGCACCAGAATGTATGCAAGATCTGTAACTGCCCGCGTATGTGTCCGGTCAGCTGAATTTGGTTAAGTCTCTCTCCAGTGGTGGCCAGTGGTATTGCGGGCTGGGATAACTGTTTAACAGCCTGATATTACCTCCATAAAATAAAGTCTGTTCTCATCCCTCCTTCCCCCCCCCCAACAAGGATCTCGGTCCGGTCAATAAATCACTCTGGGTGCAATTCTTTACAGGCCTAAAACCCCACCAACTGCCAATCCAGCATCCAATTAAAGTGCTTTTACTTGCTCAGTTACTACTGGTTTAGGGAAGTGCAGCTGAATGGGGGCTTAGCCCTTAAGCCAGAAAAATCTGGCCCATAGTTATAAGATAAACTAGTTTCAGATAGTCACAGGGAGGGGGGCCCTCAAGGTAACAGCAGGAAATCACTTTTAATTCTGGGCTGTGAAGGTTAGGATATAACTGTCCCAGGAATCCAACACCCTGAAACAGAAGCCTAATCACAGATGTGACCGCTGAGATCCCAGTTCCTTTGCACTTCTGCATACAGTTTACTTTTAACCTGTCTTGCCTTTAAAATATTGTGCGCTAAAAACAATCAAAGATAGTACAAATTGTCCCCAGGTTTGCAATGCTGTCCATCTAAACAAAAAACTGAGAAGCTTCAGAGAAAATCACATCATTTAGGGTACATTCACACCTATATGTGTTTACTATTCATTTTCAATGGGCCCTAAACAAGTGTCCACACTTCAAAAAACTTACCTGCCTCATTTTGTATTACACTGTGTATATTCTTTATTAAATGTCTTACAATGCACTGAGAGGCAGGTGAAAATGTGAGGCTGAAAATGAATGAAAACTCACCACAATGTATACAACACGTTGTTGTACCACACATTAAAGGCATAACAACACACATTAACACATGGTAAAACACACACACATGCTCTTCCTCATCGGGTCTGTGACGAATTTACAAGTTGTCCATTGCTAACATCTAAATCTCCACAATGGGAAAAGACACACATAAACATTGTCATCTTTGGACACGTAGATTCTGGCAAGTCCACCACAACTGGACATCTCATCTACAAATGTACCATCCAAAAATTTGAGAACAAAGCTGCCGAGATGGGAAAGGGCTCTTTCAAATACGCTTGGGTCTTGGACAAACTGAAGGATGAGTGTGTATGTGGCATTACCATCAACATCTCCCTGTGGAAATTTGAGACCAGCAAGTACTATGTCACAATTATTGATTCCCCTGGCCACAGGGACTTCAACAAGAACATGATCATTGGTACTTCTCAGGCTGACTGCACTGTGCTTATTGTTGCTGCTGGTGTTGGGGAGTTTGTCGCTGGTATTTTAAATAATGGACAAACTCGTGAGCACACTCTTCTGGCCTAAATTCTGGGCGTGAAGCAACTTATTGTTGGTGTTAACAAAATGGATTCTACTGAGCCAGAATACAGCCAAAAGAGATGCGAGGAAATTGTAAAGGAAGTCAGGACATCAAGAAAATTGGTTACAACCTAGATACCATTGCCTTTGTGCCAGTCTCTGGTTGGAACAACATGCTTGAACCCAGTGTTTTGACGTAACGTATGTAGGGCAAAGATTCTGATGTCACTGCACTGAGCTGAGCCGGACGAACAGGTTTTTTCATCGCTTTGCTGCCATTTGCCTTGCTGGTTTGATCCAGCAATACCCAATGCCTGTACTGTTTACACCATTGTGAGTATGCATTTTTTATTTAATAAATTGCATTTTATTGGACGTTACACACTTTGTCCTTGTCCTTTTTCTCTTTCCTACTGGATGTATGCTGGTACATGTGATCTGAGGAGACCTTATCGCCTTTTCTGTGCATGGGCTTCCCTCCCCCATTAAGAAGGGAAAAAACGCATTTGACCTAGCTCTGTGGGTCTACCTCCCCAGGTGAGCACTCACTTGTTGTCATCACTCACTGGGTGAAGGTCTGCCTACATTGTGTGATTATCCTTACCTGAGAGTTACATGCAGATTGGCTGCGAATCATCCGAGGAATTTTTTTGCACAATCACCATTATTTGCTTTTGTTTTTTCCTGGGACTCCTTTTGTCTATATTGCTTTTTTTATCTGTGTGTAGTTATTTTCTATGCCTCATTTGTTTGAAGGCTCATATATGTGACTCATTTATATATGTTTCAATTTATTTAGATGTGTATGATTATTAGCTCGGCACAATATTGTTTTTCACATTAACTGTAAACAATGTTGCTGTTTCTAGCAGTGTTTCACACTGTTCAGCTGTGAGAGAAGAGGAGACTTTTTAACAGTGAAAGAATACTGTTTTAAACAGCACATCTTCCAGCATTTTGCTACAGTGCCAGCCTAATGATTGCCAGCAGTGCCAGCCCTGTCAAAGTCCTGATTGCGGTCAGTGCCCCTCTGTCAGTCCATCAGAGTCCTGATTGTGGATCACTGCCCTTCTGTCAGTCCATCAGCGTTCTGATTGCGGTCAGTGCCCTTCTGTCAGTTCATCAGAGTCCTGATTGTGGATCACTGCCCTTCTGTCAGTGGGTCAGTGTCCTGATTGCGGTCAGTGCCAACCTTTCAGTCCATCAGAGTCCTGTCAGTGCATTAGAGTCCTGATTGTCAGCAATGCCAGCCCCAATCAGAATTGTGCCAGCCCAAATCTATCTGCGATTGCTATAGTGCCATCCGTCAGTCAGCATCTTGATTTGCAGGCACTGCCAATATAAGTACAACACAGTACCAGTGCCAGCCCCAATCAGTACAAGGGAGGTTTCAGTAGGTACCATTACAGCCCCCACCAGTGTACTAATTGACAACTTTACCGCTACGGTTTCCAGCGGGTACTGTTACAGCCACATCCAGTATGCTGATTAGCAGCACCACCAGCACAGTGTCAGCTGTTACTTTTACAACCACAACCAGTATCCTGATTGCCAATACAGTAGTGTCAGTACAACTACACAGTAGGTACTGTTGAAGCCATAATCAGTGTCCTGATCACCAGCGAGCCGAAGTACCAGTGACATCCAGCTTTGTAAGTACAAGTACAAGCAGGGCGTATAAAAACGCAATAGGTAGTCAGGGGATAAAAAAAATGCGTAATTAATGCCCCATGAAAGTCTCAAGGTGTTCCTTGGATTTTGGGCCCTTCTATCTGGCTGGGCTGCAAAAAAAGTCTGACGTGTGGTATCCGCATACTCAGGAGGATCAGTAGAGTGTATTTTGAGGTGTTATTCTAAGGACGTCAAAACTGTGTGTTAGAAATATCATATAAATTATCAACTTTGTGTAAAAAAAAAAAAAAAAAAATTTCTTCATTTTCTAAAATTCTGTGGCAAAAAATAAAATCTTCAACAGACCCAGCATGTTTTTTTATCAAATAACTTTGGGTGTCTGCTTTTCAAAATTGGGTCATTTTGTGTGTGTTTCTTCTCTCCTGGCACTTCAGGGTCTCCAAAAATGTGATAGGTAGTTAAAAAAACAATAGTGCAATTTATGTCTATTCAAAACCTCAAGGTGTTCTTTGGAGTTTGGGCCCCTCTATGTGGCTAGGCCGCAAAAAAGTCTTACATATTTGCTATCCCCATACTCGGAAGGAGTAGCAGAATGTTTTTTGGGGGTACAATTCTGTGTGCCCATGCTGTGTCTTAGGTATATATTTTTAAATGACAATTTTTTGTACAAAAAAAAAGAATTTCTTCGTTTTCTGTTAACGTTTACCAAAAAAATGAAACCTAGAAAACACTCAACATGTATATTATCAAATACCTTGGGGTATCTTCTTTCTATAATGGAGTCATTTTGTGGGGATTTCTACTGTCCTTGCATTTTGGGACCTCAAGAAATGCGATAAGCAGTCAGGGCACCAGGGTTGATACAAGTCAAATGTATATACCTTAGTCTGTGGACTATATAACTTTCACACATTGTAATCAATTTACACATTTTTTTTTACCAAAGAAATGTAGCAGAATACATTTTGGCCTAAAGTTATGAAGAAAGATTATTTATGTGCAATTTTTCATAGCTTAACATGGGGGGAAGTTTTTTTTTCAAAATGTTCTGTACTTTTTCCTTAATATAGTAAAAAATTAAAACCCCAGTGGTGATTAAATACCACCAAAAGAAAGCTCTATCTGTTCCTAAAAAAGGATTTAAAATTAAATTTGGTAGAGCATTGTATGGCTGAATAATTGTCAGTCAAAGTACTGCAGCGCTGAATAGTGAAAAATGCTTTGACAGGAAGGGGGTTTAACACCGCGGACTTCAAGTAGTTAAAGAAAAATACAATTCATGTAGCTGTCATTTTATCTTGAGAGAAGGAAAAAATATACTGTTCATGATGCCAGTGGCAGCATTACAACCAAATTAATTTGATTAATGTTCTTATAGTGTAATGTTTCTGAAAGCACTGTGATGCTCTGAACTGCAATTAATACTGGGGAAAAGTAAGTTATGCACAGAAAGGAGATAAGATTCCACTAAGCACTATGAGGATTACACCTGCTGAATGCTATTCACTCTCTGCTGCAAAGTTATTGTACACCACAGCCCACACTTTACATCCCATTTATAAAATGTAGGCTGCATTATGGAGCCTGCAGTATGACAGGGTGTTCTCTCTGCTTAATGCAGCTAACTCTGTGACTGAAAGAAAGGCCAGTCACCTAACTATTACAGGTCATGTGACCGAGCCCTACTCCCAGCTTTTTTCCCCCTCATTCATTTTAATAAGCACCTTAGTTGCTTTGGAGTCCTTTGGACACATTAAGCTATGTGTTCTTAGCAGTGTTCTTAGCCCATCTGTAAAGCACATCACATTTAGTGGTAAGGCCATGCTTTATAAATGATCCCCAAAGTATGCTTTTCTATTAAAAGAGGCATTGCCTCAAAAAAGTGAGACTGGTACACTGTTACAGACCCATCAAGAATTGCGCCCTCTTGTTTCTCTCTTTGGTTTTCACATCCGATGCACTCATGAACCAGGAGACTCACCGGCCCAAGTGATTCCGTTCAGGTAACGAAGGGAAGGGGGAGGAGTCCGGTGACGTCACGGACATCGACGTCAACGGACTTCTCCCTCCTTCCCTTCGTTACCCATCACGGACAACTACATCACCCGACTCCTCCCCCCTTCCCTTCGTTAGCCGACAGAGCCACTCGGGGAGGGGGGGAGGAGTCCGGTGATGTCGATGTCCGTGACGTCACCGGATCTCCGACGGAAGACCCGGAAGCCGGCGGAGAGGTGAGTACTTTGATCGATCAAAATAATTTTGATGGATCAAAGAAATTAACGATTAATCGACGGATTAATCGTTAATTTCCGCACCCCTAATATATATATATCTACTATATTAACAAAAGTATTGGGATGTGAACTTTAATGGCATCCCAGTCTTAGTCCGTAGGGTTCAATATTGAGTTGGCCCACAGCTTCGACTCTTCTGGGTAAGGGTGTCCACAAGGTTTAGGAGTATGTCTATGGGAATGTTTGACCATTCTTCCAGAAGCACATTTGTGAGGTCAGGTGCTGATGTTGGACAAGAAGGCCAGGCTTGAAGTCTTCGCTCTAATTCATCCCAAAGGTGTTCTATCAGGTTAAGGTCAGGACTCTGTGCAGGCCAGTCAAGTTCCTCCACCCCAAACTCGCTCATCCATGTCTTTATGGACCTTGCTTTCTGCACTGGTGCACAGTCATGTTGAAACAGGAAGGGGCCATCCCCAAACTGTTGCCACAAAGTTGTGAGCATGAAATTGTCCAAAATGTCTTGGTATGCTGCGGCCTTAAGAGTTCCCTTCACTGGAACTAAGGGGCCAAGCCCAACCCCTGAAAAACAACCCCACACCATAATCCTCCCGCCACCAAACATTACACTTGGCACAATGCAATCAGGCAAGTACCGTTCTCCTGGCAACTGCCAAACCCAGACACATGCATCAGATTGCCAGGCAGAGAAGCATGATTCGTCACTCCGGAGAATAGGTCTCCACTTCTCTAGAGTCCAGTGGCAGTGTGCTTTACACCATTGCATCCGACTCTTTGCATTGCACTTGGTGATGTAAGGCTTGGATGCAGCTGCTCGGCCATGGAAACCCATTCCATGAAGCACTCTATGCACTGTTGTGCCAATCTGAAGACCACACAAAGTTTTGAGGTTTGTAGCTCTTGACTCTGCAGACATTGGGCGACTTCTGCGCATTGTGCGCTTCAACATGTGCTGACCCCGCTCTGTCATTTTTACGTGGCCTACCATGCTTAGGTGCTTGCTTTTATACACCTGTGGCCATGGAGGTAATTTGAACACCTGAATCCAATGATATGGAGGGGTGTCCCAATACTTTTGGCAATATAGTATATACACACACATAAACCCCAATTCTGAAAAAGTTTGGACGCTGTGTAAAATCTACATAAAAATAGAATGCAATGATTGCAAATCTCATAAACCCATATTTTGTTCACAATAGAAAAGAGAAAACATATAAAATGTCTGAACTGAGAAAATGGACCATTTTAGTAAAGAAATTAGAGAATTTTGAAATTGATGGCAGCAACAACTCTTAAAAAAGATGGGACAGGGCAACAAAAAGCTGGCAAAGTAAGTGGTACTAACAAGGAAGAGCTGGAAGACCATTTTGCATCTAATTAGGTTATTTTGCAAAAGGTCAGTAACATAATTGGGTATAAAAAGAGCATTTTAGAGAGTCGGAGAGTCTCAGAAGTAAAGATGGGTCAATCTGTGAAAAGCTGCATCTAAAAATTGTCAAAAAATGTCAGAATGTTCCTCAATGTAAAATTGCAAAGACTTTAAATATATAATAATCTACTGTACATAATATCATCAAAAGATTCAGAGATTCTAGAGACATCTCTGTGCGCAAAGGACAAGGCCGAAATGCAATATTGGATGCTCACGATCTTTGGGCCCTCAATTGGCACTGCATTA